AAACTCTGTATATATACCATTTTAATTGGGTTCTTTGGTTTGCTGATGTCTAGTTTCTTAAGGTCTTTATATATTTTGGATATTAGCCCTCTATCTGATGTGGAGTTGATGAAAATTGTTTTCCATTCTGGAGGCTGCTGTTTGGTCCTATTGACCAAGTCCTTTGCATTATAGTTACTTTTTGAGTTAATGAGATCCCATTGGTTAATTGCCGGTCTAGTGCCTGTGATATCTGTATTCTGTTTCAGGAAATTGTCTCCATTGCTGATGCATTTAAGGATATTCCATGTATAGCAGGTTCAGTGTCTGGTTTGATGTTGACTTCATTGATCCACTTGGCTTGACTTTTGAGTAAGGTAATGAACAAGGGTGAATTTGTATACTTCTGGATGCGGACATCCAGTTAGGTCAGAACCATTCAATGATAATGTTTTTCTTAATTTCAAGTGTGTAGTTCTGGTTTATTTATCAAAAAAAATATTTTAAAATTCTGCTCTCATACATTACATCTTGAGGGCAATTTTATTCTCTCTACTCCTCCATGTTTTCCTCTGCCAACATTTTTATCATCCCACTGATTCTTAGGTTTCTTAGGCTGTCCAGATCAGTATGTACTGGATGTTCTGAGCATCTGTCTGATCTGAAATTTTACTATCCTCAAAGTATTTGCTGTTTTCTTCTTTCACTGCTGCTGACTGTACACTTAATAATCTCACTTTGCAAAACTGAAAGCATGGCAATTGTGAATCATTTCCCATACAAGACACGGACATCCATGGAGTCAAATATAAATTTACATTAAAAAGGGTTGTGGATAGATGAGTAAAATTTGTCCAGTAAATATTATGTACTACTCTAAATCATCCTCAATGAGAATAGAGCTCAACTGAGGAGATGAACCACATGAATGAGGGTGGAAGTACAATCTCTGTGGAATGAGCTCTTAGCCTGGAGAACATGGAAGCAGCAATGCTGCATCCTTAGCCATCATGGGAAGTGCAGGCAGAATTCCCTTCTCTTCAGAGCAGATTAGTCTTTTACATCAGTTAGCTTTGGAAGTTAATGATCAATACTAATAACAACTTTAAAATAGAACAGGTGAAGTTACTCCCCCAGAGAGACTTTTTTCCATTTATCTTTATTAAGAAATTTTCTACTCATTGTACATGTTACCCACAGATCTCACCTCCTCCCTCCTCCCACCCTCCAGCGCTCCTTCCCAAGCCACCCCACATCCCCACATCTCCCAAATCAAGGTTTCCCATGGGGAGTCATTAGAGCCTAGGCAGATCCAAGCCCCTCTGGACTGCACCAAGCCTGAACAAGGCATCACACCTCAGGCACCTAGCTCCCAAAAGCATGACCATGCACCAGGGATGGATCTCAAACCCCCTGCTTGAGTGCCCCCCAAGCAGTTCGAACTGAACAACAGACTTTCATATCCAGATGGCCCAGCCCAGTCCCGTGGGGGCTCCACAGCCACTAGTCTACAGTTCATGGGCTTCCACTTGCACTGTCAGTCATCTCTGCACTTCTTTCCATCATGGTCTCACTGTCCTCTGCCTGAAGAATCCCTCCTCTCTCTCTATAAATTGGATTCCCAGAGCTAAGCATGGAGTCTGTCCGTGGTTCTCTGCATCTGCCTCAATCAGTCACTGGACAAAGGCTCTATGATGACAATTAGGGTATTCCCTAGACTGGTCACCAGAGTAGACCAGTCCAGGTACCATCTAGAAAACTGCCAGCACTCCAAGGTAGGTCATCCTTGTGGATTCCTAAGTGCCTCCCAGCACCCTGCCTCTTCCAATTCTTTTATACCCTGCCTATCATGATATCTCCATTCCTGCCCTCCCACTCTGTCCCTGTTCCAATTCAACCCTCCCATTTTCATATGTTCCTCAGAGAGACTTTATAGCACCATAGTTTGCTTAAATGTTCTCTTTTAATTATATAGCCTAGATTTACATCTGATCATACTCCAGACCTTTCCAACTTTCCAAATTTGTCTTTTCTTGTATTTTTGGATTTTGTGACAGAGTTTCACAGTGCCACCTAGGCTGAACTCAAATACACAATCTTCCCACTTCTTTCTCCTCAAAACAGGGACAGCAAAGTCTGTGCTACCTGCTAATCCTCTTGTAGTCTCCCATGTCTCCTTTGTCTTAATTTAAACTATCAACCTAATGCTTACATATGTAAATGTTTCCAGTACTTATTATTGTGCATGAAATTACTACAGTTCAATTCTAAACAATTTTATTTGAAAGTTTACCTAAACCTGACTTTTAAAAATGTATTTCTAATAACTTTACAGGGCTGGGAGTTATACTTTAGATTTAAGAAATATGTTGTCTATTAAATATACATTCCCTTCTGTAGCCAACACTGGCATGTTTCATTACCATCACTGAATCATTCTGACATTTTTCATCCTCTTCACTTGTTCTTACTTTCTGACAGCCACCAACACTTGATTTGATGGCCCAGGTGCAATCTGCAATGTTTAACTTTTGTACTGAAGGTGACAATGTCAATTTAAAAAGTCTCATTCACTGAGAAGATCACCTGAAGGACTACACTCCACCTAAACCCCACAGGTTAACTCTCCCTGCTACTGTGATATTCTCCATTAAAACTGTGAGTGCTGATTGTTTCAGCACTAATATCATACAGCTTGATTGACCTGTGTCCCAGACTACAAGACAAACTGCATTGGGAAGAAACTTTGTAGACAATGGGTTTCTTCTGCAAAGTTTGGTATTGACAGTGTGTTCACAGAATAGAAACTGAGTAGAAAACATGGATAGAGGGATGCAGACAGCAGAGCTTTTAGAATTCTCTGACTACACAAGCACAGTGTATTGTCTGGTAAAAACTACTGCAGCAGAGCCTGAAGAATGAAGCATAGTGTCTGATGAGCAGAAAGGGGCAGAGTGCTGGAAAGCATGCCGCCATGGCTGCACCAGTGTTAGACAGCCACCTAGATCCTTCACTGGCAGATAAATAAGATGTAAAGACAACAGAGGTTGCATAAAAGATCACAAAGCAGCACACTAGGGTGAGGATGCTTTGGGTGGCTCTGGTTTCAGGGGATGACCTAGGAGACAGGGATCTGTGGATGTGTTGCACCCTCTGCTTATGTCTGAGCAGGATGAATACCATGTAGCCACTGGCCAACGTCATGAGTGTCAAAAAAACGACATCATTGAATGCTATTAGGATTACAATAAGAATGCTGATCAGTTTCTCAGAATTGATAACAGTACAATATCCAAAATCTTGTATTCCAGTAACATTTCTTCCACCCCTTATATTGGTTGTATATACAAAAATAAAATTATATAACAAAAGCTGGAGTGCCCAGCATAGGCCCAGGAATGGACCAATAATCCTGGGGGCTCTGGGCTTGTACTGTGCCCACCGAGAACTACTGGGGCTGATGGTGATGGCCTGAAAGACACTCAGAAGGGATGTGGAGCTAAGGGATACTCCTCTGCCAACTCGATGAAAATAAAAGGCAAGTTTACAGGAAACATAATCTAGATAGTAAGTCTGACTAAAAGCAGCAATGGTCTGTGGGATTCCTCTGCAGAGAACAATGAAGTTGGCCCAGACCAGGTGTTTGACAATCAGATCAGTGGGCTTTGCCCTGATTCCAGAGAAGTCAGCAATGATAAAACAGCAAAGCAAAGCTGAGTTCCCCAGCATTCCCAGTACAGTCTGGGACAGGAAAAAGATCCCTACAACCATGTCTCTGGAGGCCATTCTGTCATGGCCCTGGGTCAATGCAAAACATGTCCAGAGCACACTTGTTAAACAAGTTGGACTTCCTTTTTCTTAGCATGCCAAACAATGTACTGCATATACAATATTACCTTACATTCATAAGTAATGCTAATGTGTGTCTTCCTAGTAAATAGTTTGCTAGGTCTCAGTGAACTGCTATTGTTTCAATTGCAGATAATTAACTGGGACATTGTAGTAAAAACTAAAGTTTATTATGCCATAAATATGTCTTAGCATTTTTCAAGCACAATGCAGTTAATTGCAGGTTTAATATCCACAGTGCACTGGTGAGATGATCTAATGACCAAACTACATTCAGATGAATGTCCTGGTTGCAGAAACACTACAGGTTACCATGGTCCCAGCAAATTGTAAAAGGCTTAAGAAAGGAGACTGTATGACTCCACAGAAAATGGTAACCCCTAACTAAGATGCTATGGACAACTGATAGCTACTAGGAAAGGTGGAGTCAGTTCCCTTTAAAAATGTGGCCCATAGTAGGTTGACAATGGCATAGTAGATGGTCACACGCCCAATATCATGTGGGTACCACAAGCTATGCTTTATGTGTTAAGAAATTTAAAAGGCAAAACATGAGTGGGTCAATTTCTATAATTGAAATTGAAAACATGGTGTAACTGTGTGGAGTGGGGTAAGTATGTGAATGATCAAAATACATATAAATTTCTCCAAGTTAAAAAATGAGAATGAATAATAGAGAATAAGAAAAACTGTACAATTTGGAATAAAAAATAGAGAGTAATAAAAAATGTAAGGCTTCTAGCTGTCAGGAATGATAACATTTGAGTTCTCCTTTTTCAAACACACAAATGTAATTGCATTTACATATGTCTGCATGTACATATATGTGCTCATATTGGCTTTTAAGTGTTTTCAACATTAATTTTAACCACTTAATTTGGCATGTATTATTTTGAATATAACTCTATCACACTTAACCATGACTAAAGACATGTATAGCAAAAAAAAAACTTCAGTATATTTACAACAGTATGAAATGAAGGTGATTACTCAATAGAAGGATCACTAGTGAGATTCTTCAATTATTTGTATTAAAATTAAAACACAATAGAGACCTATGTAACTGTTGAACAATAGGAGAAGGCCTTCTGAATTGTGGGCCATAAAATTTAACTAATATAACTGTAAGTATTATAGAAATTGATAGATACTAATATACTGTCAGTCAATGATATAATGGGTACCTAACACATAGCACAATAATAATTGACATATCTATGTGATTCAAAAGCAATATCTGGGCTGGGAATAGTGACACATGTTTTTAATCCCAGTTCCTAGTATGCTGAGGCCAGAGGATCTCTATGAGTTTGAGGCTAGTCAGGTCTATCGAACAAGTTTCAAGACAGGAAGGACTCCATAAATAAACCCTGTCTCAAAAATCAAACAAACAGAAAGCAAATTTAGGGGAACATGAAGATCCATGTCTTGGAGGAAGTGGACATATCAGAGGCCTCAGACCTGAGTGATATTAGGCTGCAGTTATTCACTTAGTCAAATGCCCATGGACTTAAAATTTGGATACAGAGACACCAATTTACCAGTTACTCCTCTTTTCACAATCCAGATAACATAGCCCTTTAAGAAGGATATTAAGTTCTCACTATGCCACTGTACACAGGAGTTTCCAATAAAGAAAAAAATCTGCATGCATATAAAGCCCCAATGGAAAGCAAAATCTGTGGTGTAAATATGCAGGGGATATCAAACAACTCTCAAAGTTACTCTTATAACTCTTTAAATTCTGGCAGAGTTTTACCAACCCACTGCACAAGCCTGAGATTAGAAAATGAAATAGAACAGATGAATCTGAGAATAAGTAATAAACTGTCTTCGTCACCAGGAACCCTCCTGACTGGGAACAGTCACAAGTCTTGGAAAAAAGCATCAAGCATCAAGTGGGAATCCAGGATAGTCTCTCACCTGCAGCCTCCAACAAATCTTGTTGGGGTCAGGTCTCTGGCTGATTCTTCCTACAATGAAGTTTCAACCTGTGCAGGACCCCTTTCCTGAAAGAGAAAGATCATTTTGAAAGTCTGAACTCACCCACCTTCCAGAGACTGCCCTGTCCTTTGAAGACTGGGTGCCTGAAGAAAATTAACTCACCTATGCAGATAGAATGCATCTGTGAAGCTGGCTGCTGGATGGCAACTCAGTTTCCAATAGGACCCACAACCGTCATATAGCTACAAAGTTGACAGCAATCCCCAAGATGAAGGCTGAATGTACACAGTTCTCATACCCTAAGAGTATGACAGGATGATGTCACAGGAAGTAACCATGACAGTGGCGCCCAGGGACTTTACATCACCTTTGAAAAAAATAAGCAAGAGAAACTTTTAACTGAGTAGTGAACATCACAGAAGGGTAGGCAAGAAGAGTAAAGTCCCTCTTCTCTCCTGTGGTATTAGAAGTTTAGAGTCCTAGTAGCAGAACAAGCAGTGATTATAATCTTGGGAGCAGGGACCAAAGGCAAAGTGTGAAGTTACAAGTGCACTCTACTTTGGGGATGCATCATTTTGAAAATGTCTCTTTCATTTGAAGAGACTGGAAGTTTTACTGGACCTCACAAGAAGAGTTAAATTGAGGTCACTTAAGATTTAACACTGCTATTCAACTATATGCTTAGAGTTTGTGATTAACCTGCATTTAAGAGAACAACATAACAACCAACCTTATTTGCTTTGGAAGTAATCAGTTTTTACAACCTAAGCTAATGCATAACATTACTCCTAAAATATGTAATCTTCCATGAGCTGACACAAGAGCAATGCTGGTGCATATGTATGTTATAGCAATAAGTGATTAAAACAGCTAGTTTGAAATCAACCTAATGAAACAAATATACACAATAAATGTTGAAAGTGATACAAATATAGGTTGATATATCTATATCCAGTGATATTACAGTACTGTTTCTTATCTGAGTCAATTGAGAGCAGTTGGTATCAGTGTCTCATTCCCTTGTAAAAATTCTTTTAAATATTTTGGTAAAGCATCCCTCATTCCTTACTCATGTGAAGCTTCTATGCTGTTCAATAAATACAGAGCAAAGAGCACCTGATTGGACTAAGAAGTGAGTTTTATCCTCATACCCAAACACCTCAGTCCCTAGGCTTTGGGCCCAGGAGCACAACCCTGTACCCCTATACCACCACCCATTGCAGTCTCAGGTTCAGGCCAGTCTGTAGGCAGACCTGCTACAGACAGGTCAGAATACCATCATCCCCCATCAGACCCTGTAACCCAAGCCCCACCTTCCCCAAATCCCATCTGCCCTCCAAGACTGCAACTGTTCCCTGAGACAGAGCCTGCCAGCACCTGATTGAACTAAGAGGTAATACCTTGTCTAGATGGGGCCTAGGGGCACAACTCTGCGCTGCTAAACTATCACCCATTGCAGTCCAAGTTTCAGGTCAGTAGGCAGGCAGACCTACTACAGACAGGTCAGACTATCTGCAGACAGGTCAGACAACCACCAGCCAGCACCAGACACAAGCCGCACACCCTCCCAATATCAGAATTGAAAAAATTGCAACAACTCCCTGAGACAGAGACAATGAGTGCTAATTGGACTAATAGCTGCTCTCTGAGTCAGAGTCCATCAGAACCTACTAGACCAAGAGCTGCCACTGGACCAAGAGTATCAATCAGACCAAGAGAGCCTCTCTCAGACACAGACTCCACTTGCACCAAGTGGAGAAAAAAGATGGGTGCAAAAATACAGTCAACAACAACAAAACAAACAAACAAGCAAACAAACAAAAATACAGTATGGCTCCATCAGAACCTACATCAGCAAGACCTCAACATCCCAACAAAGAAGTAACAGAAGAAATCGACTTTAACAATGACCTTAAGAAGATGATAGTGATCTTTAAAGAGGACATGAAAAAATCCCTTAAAGCAGTTGAGAAAGAATGAGGGAAACAGTTTGAGATTTGAAAACTGAAATCAAGACAATAAAGAAGATACAAACTGAGGTAATGCTGGAAGTGGAAAATCTGAGTAAACAAACAGGAACTACAGATGCAAGATTAACCAACAGAATGCAAGAGATGTAAGAGCAGATCTCTGGCACTGAAGATACGATACAGGAAATATATTCATCAGTCAAAGAAAACACTAAAGCCAACAAGGTCATGACCCAAAATGTCCAGGAAATTTGGGACACCATGAAAAGACCAAACCTAAGAATAATAGGGATAGAAGAAGGAGAATTACAACTCAAAGGCACAGAAAATATATTCAACAAAATCTTAGAAGAAAACTTTCCCAGCCTAAAGAAGGAAATACCTAAAAAGATACAAGAAAGTTATACAACACCAAATAGAATGGATCCCAAAAAGTCCCCTTACCACATAATAATCCACTAAACATACAGAATAAAGAAAAAATATTAAGAACTGCAAAGGAGCAGGTGGTGGTGGTGGTGGTGGTGGTGGTGGTGCACCCCTTTAATCCCAGCACTTGGGAGGCAGAGGCAGGAGGATGTTTTTGAGTTCGAAGCCAGCCTGGTCTACAGAGAGAGATCCAGGAAAAGCGCAAAGCTCCACAGAGAAACCCTGTCTCGAAAAAACAAAAAAAAAAAGGAAAAAAGGCCAAGTAAAATATAAATGTAGACCAATAAGATTAACACCTGACTTCTCAATGGAGACTAAAGACAGAAGGGCCTGGACAGACATTATGCACACATTAAGAGACCATGGGTACCAACCCAGACTACTATACCCAGCAAAACTCTCAATCAACATATGGAGTAAAAAATTTTTTCACAATAAAACCAGATTTAAACAATATCTCTCTGTAAATCAAGCCCTACAGAAAGCAACTGAAGAAAAAATCCAACCTAAGAAAGTTAGATACACCCATGAAAACACAGGCAATAGATAGTCCCACACCAACAAATTCCAAAGAAGGGAAACATAGAACACTACCACAACCAAAAAACAGGAATTAACAACAACTGGTCATTAATATCCATTAATATCAATGGTTTCAATTCACCTATAAAAAGACACAGACTAACAAAATGGATACCAAAACAAGATCCATCCATTTGCTGCATACGAGAAACACACCTCAACTTCAAAGACACACACTACCTCAGAATAAAATGCTTGGAAAAGACTTTTCAATCAAATGGATTTAAGAAGCAAGCTTGTGTAGCTATCCTAATATCTACTAAAATAGACTTCAAACTAAAATCAATAGGTAGGTAATTGATTTCAAACTCTGGAGGAGGTTCTCAGTAGGAATAATAAAGAAATTTTTGAGTAGAAGGGCAAAACCATTCAAAAATTAATATCACCAGGTGGCTCTTATAAAATGGCTTATTCTGTCATCATGCCTGAGAGCCAGCAAGTAATACTCATTCTGAATAACATATACAATATATTTGGCACCCTATTCATATGAGAGATTTAAAACATATTCAGGAAGTGGTAGTCACCTATGGAATACATTCAGCATATGTAAAATACATGTTAAATACATGGTTTTCTAGAAATAGCATTAAACCAGATGACTGGAATCAGTTTATCCCAGCTGTGGTAGAATATAGCCAGCAGTTACAATGGAAAATCTGGTTGAAAGAAGAGACTAAGGCCCTTGAACAGCAAGGTGAGATCAGAGGTTTTGAGATCTCCCAAGAGTATATTTTTGGTGAGGACCATCTCACTGATTTAAATGTACAAACCATCTTGGGTAAGCATAAATGTTTTCTATGCCATACAGCAGCTTTAAATTGGCCTCTTCAAGAGATAAATGTCTAATTTCTAGGGATTGCCACTCTATCTCTGCTAATTTTGAGATGTGTTGAATGCATAGGGCCAGAAAGACATAGAGGAAGGCTGAAGCTGTATGTGGCAAATGTAGCAGTGAATCATTGTGGTCGAGATCTGTTACAATAGTGGAATACCAAGATGAAAATTCTTCCAATCTCAGAAGTGAGATATAGAGCAATTCACGTTCTGGGGAGTAATGATAAGATACTATATAAAGCAACCACCAACCATTCAGGCTGTACATAAAAAGCACAATTGCCATTGAACTCTCAGATGTACCAATGGCTCTAATTTAAAAATGGCTTACTGATAAAATTATCTGGGTTGGACAATAGCCTATAATAAAAGAGGAACTACAAGCTTTAGAACAGCTGGTTCAGGAAAAGTTAAATGTTCAACACATTGAAGAATCTTCCACCCTTTGGAATTTTCCTGTATTTGTTATTAAAAAGAAATCTGGTAAATGGAGAATGCTGACAAATCTGAGAGCCCTAAATAAAGTAATTCAGCCCATTGTCTCATACAAAATGGGATTCCTTGCCCTCTCTGTTACCCCAAAAATGGCTTATTATACTTATTGACTTAAAAGTTTGTTTCATCACCATATTGTTACAAGAAAATAATAGAGAAAAAATTCCCCTTACAGTACCTACTTATAATAATTCCCAGCCATTCAAGAGATATCAATGGAAAGTCTTCCCACAGGGAAAGTTAATAGCCCTACCCTATGTGGATATTTTGTACAAAAAAATGTTGGAAATAATTCATGCAAAATTTCCACAACCTAAAATCTACCATTATGTGGAAATTTATTAGCTAATCAAAGTTAGGTGCCTAGGTAAACATGTTTGAAGAAGTAAAAAAAAAAAAAAGGTTACCTAACCAGGGATAAAATGTTCCTGAAAACTACAAAGAGGAAATTCTACTATTTAGGATAAGATAGATGTACAAAAAAGTTAGACCCTAGAAGGGACAACTGAGGAGAGATAGATAGCAGACTCTTCCGCCCCACCCCCTTTTTTCGAGACAGGGTTTCTCTGTGCAGCTGTGGGACTTTCGCGGATCTAACTGCATAGAGGAGGCTGGCCTCAAACTTACAAAGATCTGCCTGTCTCTGTTGCCCGAGGGCTGGGATTAATAGTGTGCGTCACAACCAGCCAGCAGACTGCAGACTCTCAATTGTTTTCAAAAATTGTTAGGAAGAATTTCCAACTTACAAACCATCATTGAAATGTGTAAAGATGGACTAGTAAATTTGGCCAATACCCTAAAGGGCAATGAGGATTTAAACAGTACAACAGAATTATAAACTGACCCTGGGAAGGAATTGGCTCTAGTGGAAAAGAAAATATGACAGGCACATGTGGATGATGTGACTCCTGAACTCAACTGCCTTCTGGTCATACTCCCTTTCTGACACTCCCCCACAAGGTTTTCATGCAGAGAGAAGATGTTATATTGGAATGGATATTTCTACCACATAAACCAAGTAAAAAGTTAAAGGCCTCTGTAGAAAACATCCCTGATTTGATGCTAAAAGGTAAATTAAGACTTCATCAGTTGACAGGAACGGACCCAACTGAAATTGTAGTACCTTTATTTAATGAGAAAAATGTCTCTTCATGGAAAGATAATGTGTACTAGTAACCAGCCTTCAGTAACTTTTAGGGAGAGATCTACAACTGTTATCCCAAAAGAAAGAGAATATAATTCATGAAAGATCTGAATGGTCCTTTCTCATGGTGTACAACAACATGTACATGTTGTACCATGTACAACATGGTGTATTTCTGGAGTCCCCATATGCTATACGAATACAAATAAATCAGGGAAGGCAGAATAAAGTTAGGCAGTACATTCAAGCTGGAGAGAGAAGAGAAGGAAGGAGAGTGGGGAAGATGTTGTGAGCCACCACCAAAGGAGCAACAACATGACAGCAGACTGGTAATGTCACAGCTATGTGTCAACATATACATAATAGGAATGGATTAAATTAAGTTGAAAGTACTTGCTAACATAATTTGCCCCTCTCTGTGTTTATTTGGGTCCAAGTGGCTGTGGGACTGGGTGGGACACAGGAAAACTCACTACTATAGAACAAGACCTAGAGGAGGTAAATGGAGCAGCCAACACATGCTGCAGGGTAAACTTTATGATTCTTCCACCAGCATATCCTGGTACTGCTGATCATGACCTGGAAGACATTCAAGAGGCAGGTGGTACCAATAATTTGAGTGTAGAAAAGGAACCTGCATATATATTCATTCTGGAACTGCTTCAACCCCAAAGATTCCATTATGTAGGTCCCTCCTGAAGAGAGAATGATCAAGGTGCTGGCATCCATTATGTACATTAGAATCAAACCTGTGGATGTTATGATCATTCTCTATATTAAATGACTGGATAGTAGAAAATAGGAGAAATTTCCTAGAATCCTTGTTATACTTTGTGAAAAGTTAATTATTCTTATTGCCAGACTCCAGAAGATAATTCTGTGATTTGGTACAATTCTTTAGATGATGGTCAGGCTGTTGGTCTGGTTACAATGAATAATGACACAATATTGTTTCCTGAGGGAACTGAGGACAGTGTTAACTGGAAAGAGGCCAGAGAAATAGAGAAAACAGAGGGTTTGTGACAATCAAAACAATAAGTATTAAAATGCTTGAAGGAAACTTGTTACTGTGTAAGCAAATAAAAAAGAGAAAATAAAAACACAAAACAAGCAGATAAAAATTCAAACAAAGTGAAGGAAGCGAATGCTGGAAACAGAAATCTTACATGCCAGTAATCAAACTTTAATTTATTTTCCAACATTCTATTCAATATTCATTTATTCTTAGAATAAGCGCATTATATAATTACAATTTAATTTGTGCTAAAGAAGGTAAGCTTTTTATAAGGCGTTTTTCCATCATTTTATTATTTTTAATTAAAATATAATTACATCATTGTCCCTTTCTTCCTCCAAACCACTTCCAAGTACCCCCACACACATACTTCTCAAATTATTTGAAATTGACCTATTTTCTTTAGATGTTGTTACATATATATGTGTGTCTATATTTATACATGTCTATACACATACAAATGCATATAAACATATTCAAACACACACACACACACACATATATATATATATATATATATGTATGTATATATGTATGTATATTCTCAATCTGCATTTGTTACTTGTATGTACATGATTTCACTGTTCATCATTTCCTACTCGATTTGGGTATTTTTTCTGAGGAAGACTTTTTCCTTCTGCCCTCAGCAATCCTTCATTACCTGTAACTCTTAGATGTCTGAGAAGAAAATTCTCTTTTATTTTATAATTTAATTTAATGTAGAAATCTCAGCCAATGACTGAGGGAAACAGATGCAGAAGAATCTTTAACAAAAAGAGGAGACCATTACAAAAAACCACAACTGATCAAAATCCAAGAACAAGTGGTTTTGTGGTGGCAAGCCTGAATTGATCCATCTACAATTTCTGCACTCAGAGCTCAGGGAACATTGTTATAGAAGAAGCAGGAAGACTATTAGCATCAGTGGAACACATGTTGGCTGTGAGATTGCATCTCCTAGAAATGTCATGGAAGCAAGAACCTTGAAGTCTCAACATAACCCTGGCTAAATAAGAACTAAATATCACACCAACAGAATGCTAACATGGAAGGTGGCAACATCCCTAGGCTCCATTAATCCCAGTTTTAAGAATCACTCAAAAAGGAAATTAGCATTTTATATCATCCAGTAACAATCACAGAAGCTTTGACATGCAAACCTGCATCACATACCCTGTGACAGCCCATGATTAATTAATTGATATGTGCAAAATTGTACATACCAATACCAGGCTTGGTAGATTTCCTGTCATCACTGTCTGGTCAACATAAATAGCTGTTTCTGACCATCACAATGGGTGTGCACATTGGTCAACATGGAGCAGAGGCCAAGCAGCCACAATGGCATAAATTTGTCTTGGTGGGTTCACAGTATGAGCAAAGTGCTGTCCTGAAGGACCACACCATGGCTCACATGCTACAGAAATAGGAAGTTGGGCAGTATTTGGTATCAGATATTCATCAGAGCTATTTGGACCAATATCATCTGCAGATGTGTAAGAAACTCCAGAAAGAAGCTATAAAAAAAACCAATCACAGTGCCAGAAGTATTACAAAGATCTTAAAGTACAGATTGAGAAAATGCTCAGGAAATCAGGAGAAGCAGGCAACTGAGGATTACATGCGGTATTCAGAAGAGAGAAAAAAGGAACTAGAGAGTCTGTTCCACAAAGGGAGATTTTTTGGGAAGAGGAAAAGGAAGACATACATCCTAGAGTTCTCTGGAGTCAGCAGTTAACTATGGAGAGGATGGAGGAATGGAACCAAGAGTGATCAGATAAGCTCTCTCTACTACTGCATGAGTGACCCCCAGGGTTCTGGAATGATAGGAGTGTGAAATTAACCAGAAATTGCAAAAGAAACTTGTGGAAATTGCTCAGTTCCTGATGACTGAAGAAAAGAACGCTTCCAAGAAAACCAAAAGAAAAGTCATTATTGGACATGGAAAAACATGACCCTAAGTGCACGAAAATGCAGCTAAATTAATACATTAAAAGTCAAAAGACAGTGAATACAATCAATATTTTATGGTTGAATGGCCATCCCAAACACCATCACCTACAATAGTGAACAATGCAGAACTGAATCACACCCATTTTACAAATGAGCATAATACCACTCCTCATTTCTCAAAATCAGAGTTCTTAAAAAGATATCCATAATAAGGTGAAATAAAAAAATATCAGCCCTGTAAATGGTCTTGCTGAAGCAAATATTACTGGATGATACAAAATTAATTCTACAATGGAGGTTGTAGATGGAATTCTAAATGGTCTTATTACATAAGACACATAGAGTTAAATGCAGAGTTAAAAGCCCAAAAGATCAGAGCACTAGCGAAGCCTTTGGCTTACCAGTCATTGCTGTCGTTCCCCTGAGAGAGAGACATTTTCTGTGTGATCAGTCTTTTTATTGTTTTTCTGATCTAGCTCTCATTGGTTTTAAATCCAACTACATGATTTCTTCATCATTATCTGTCTATACAGACCTCCAAGTCTCTAAAGTTTGTACTGAGATTAAAGGTTCAGGTCACCTCTGGCTGTCCTTGAGCACATAAAGACTCTGCCTATCATGTGATCAGATTAAGAGCATGAGCCAACACCACCAGACTTCTGCAAAATGGCTCGGTTTTCGCTTGACCCCCAGGAAACTTTATTTCTTAACATACAAATAAAATAACATTTTAACGCAAATAAAATATCACCATAGGATGTGTTCCTTCTATCTAGATTTCTGTGAGTTACTGTCAAGAATTTTCATAACCAAACAATTTTATGTCATTTCTAATAGGAGAATTCCAGACCGCAGTGCTGAGGAAGAAAATATAAGTACACAAAAATATATAGACCAATAAAATCCTCAAAATATGCAAGAGTTACTGATTGATATAGGACTCCATTTATGACAGCCTAACACAAGTAAAATGTTCTAACCTCTGATGTCTGATCACCGCATCAGTGCAGCAGACACCTGGTTTGGGTTAGTTAATTCAGGGGAACTTGAGATTCTTATGGTATTGTGTTTAATATATCCACTGTGTTGCAGGATGTACTTTACTTGTGCAATTCCCATGAAAACTATGATTATGATTTTTGTTGAAAAACTTTGTCATACAAAAAGAAAGAAAGGGGGAGAGAGAAAAAAGGGAATGGGGAGGAGAGAAGTAAGTAAGGAAGCAGGAAAGTAGGAAGGAAACAAGGTAGGAAGGAGGAAGGTATTGAGTTTGGGTTTAGGTTTTTGGGTAAATGTCATCTGGTGACTTTAACAAGCCTCATGGAATCACAGTTTAAGACCTTGATCCCCCCAAAACAACATTATTTTACATTTTCAAACTGTGATGCTTACTTGAGTGTGACATGTTGTCAGAACAATACCATAAAGACATTCTTCAATTGTGACTTCACTGCTCTGTTGATCATACATGTAGGAAATAGGACATCATTTATGATACCCACTGTCCAACAGGCTCATGTGAAAACTCAACATCCCTGGAAGATGTTTAAAGCTCTACTTCCATGTTGTACTTACCAAGAGGCCATGAACTTTCCCAAGAAAATGATGCCAGTGGACCTGCACTACCACATCTAGGAGGATGAAAAAGAAATACAATAATAAACTTGGGTAAGTTCAACTCTAGCAATCATACTGCAAAAATATTCTACACATCATGTAAGGTAAAGTTAATTATCACTTTTCACACAATACTTCAGTAAGTTCACAGACAGACTGCATTATCCTGGTGTTATTCACTGTTACTCTAAGGTGGGCATTTATAGTCAAAACCAACAGTGACTGGCAAAACTTTATGAACACTTCTGTCTTTCTCACTCACATCTTATGTGGAGCTATGGAATTATTCTTATGCCTTCTCTCTCAGTTCCAAGAATCTGTTCCTACATCAGATTCCCTTTGCTAGACATGAACAATTACACAGGCCTCTCTTCTTTGCTGGTTCTGTTGCTCAAACTGAAACATGAAGTACTCACCTGGCTTCTTGTCTCAGAAGGGTGATGAGTTCATTGGGTAGATCTAGGCTTATTAATAACTAGTGCCGTGTGAAAGCCAGTTGAGGCCTGAGGTAGAGCTCTTGTGACTCGGTGACCTCACCTCCCTCCAGAAGTTCAATTTTCATTTCATCTGCAGTAGCAATGACAGTGTTTGCTTTGGGGAACAAAATAATTCATGAAACTTTTTCCAGTTGCTAATTAACAAAGATGCTTGAGAGTTTCCTGTGAATATCTCCAAAGAGACAAGGTGTTTTGAAGATGCACTGAGTTTTTTTGATGCTTGAAAGCTGACCTGTGTCCCACAGAAGGTGATAAAAACTCTGAGGTGAGATTTGTGTGAACAGTAGAGAAATCTCTATGTCCCATTGGATCTAGGCTTTTCTCACTTCTTTCAACAGAAATCAATTTAGTTTTCTTTATTTAGCTTATAACGTTAATAATTATGTGTTTGAGTATTTTATTCATACTAATGTGGTTAAGTAAAAACTACCCACTATTATCTCGTTTCCAAATCCCTTCTTATCTCACATCAGTATTCTCTCTAAATTCCATGTGCTTTGTTAAGAAAAGATGAAATAAAGAAGAAAAGAAAGGAAGGAATGGAGAAAGGAAGGAAAGCAGAGTCTATACTTAGTGATGCCTATATGCTAGTGCAGGGGCATATATGAAAGCAACGTTAGCCTCTCTCTCTCTGAAAGACTTAAGTTATCTGGCACTTCCTCTTTCTGAAGCCAGAAATTCCCATCAGTTCTTCACCTAGGATTTGGACTTCCTGCCATATCCACTCTGCTTGTATTTTGTCTTCTAAATCTTGTGTAGTGTTTGTGTGTACTGTTCTAGAGAGTAAATTCACATGTGTAAGTGCCCTGGTTTGGTCTAGACTAGATCTATTTCCTTGAAATCATCTACCACCTCTTATTCATATATTTTTTTCTGCCCATCTTCAATTATGATCTCCTAATCTTTGGAGGAATAGCTGTCATATAGATGTCCAATTTTTAGATGGACCCTCCAGAGACTCTTATTCTCAGCACTTTGAATGATGGTAGTTTTCTTTGTTAATCACCATAGAGTGCAAAACAATGCTTCTCTGATAAGAGTTGAGGGATAGACCTATCCACCAGAATAAACATAGATGTAAAACGAATCTAAAAGTTCTTATAATAAAAACCCCAGAGCCAGATATTGAGGAGAAAGCTGAAAGATCAGAGAAGCAAAAGAGCCTGCCATTAGCTTACTTCTATGAAATCCTCAACCTCAAAGAGTGTCTTCCTATTTCCTCAAGACTTATAGACCTTTCTCTGCTCAGACATCACTTCTGGGATTAAAGGCATGTGTGCCTCCCAGTCCTGGGATTAAAGACTTGTTCCAGCACTACCATTATCTACTTCCAGTGTGGCCTTGAACTCACAGAGATCCAGAAGCATCTTTGCCTCCCAAGTTATAGGATTAGGTGTATTTGCCACTACTGGCTGACCTATAAATCTAATCTAGTGGCTGGTTCTGTCCTTTGATCCCCAGGTAAGCTTTATTGGAGTATAAAATATATCACTACAAATAAGAGTTTGGTGGCCGGGCGTTGGTGGCACACGCCTTTAATCCCAGCACTCTGGAGGCAGAGCTAGGCAGATCTCTGTGAGTTCGAGGCCAGCCTGGGCTACCAAGTGAGCTCCAGGAAAGGCGCAAAGCTACACAGAAAAACCCTGTCTCGAAAAATTAAAAAAAAAAGAGTTTGGAGAGCATTTTATTACTCTGTCAGTTTAGTAGAATTTTGATCAGTATTATGTTCTTCCCCAGGACCTCTGTACTCTTAAGACTCACATTCTTGTGCATAATGATGGTGACACACAAGTATACCATTGTGAAATGGGCCTTCAATTCAGTCATGAATCAGTTTGTTACACCATGATATTAATGACAGTATTACATGGGACTTATTGTTGGTATTGCTCTCATATTTCCATAATTATTTTATTACCTCTAGCAGTGTGAAAATCATCCAGTATAGATGGAGTTTCCACCTTGATTTCTCCATGGACTGTGACATAATTATATTGCATCATTATTGACAGGATCTATCCATCTAAGGACAATATACCCATACATATTACAAGCTAATGACATTGTTCTTGGTTATCTTCAATGTACTTCTGATTTTCAACCCCTGACCTGCACAATTTTAGAGTACTTGGAAGAGTTACATCGAGACTCAAATCTGATGAAAATACCAAAAGATATGGGAGCAAAAGGGAAAAAAACAATGTCACAATCAGCATTGGAGATCATTAGAACATTTAGTAAAATATAGTACAAATTAATTTTAACATTAAAAGCATGAACATATTCTGAGGAAATGAAAGATGTTGACCTTGTGAAACAATCTTTTTTAATTCTATGAAATTTCCATTACTTTTGAAATTTAAACATAATTACATCATTCCCACTTTTTATTCCTACCTCTAACACTTCCCAATAAAACTCACAATGCCATTCAAATTTATGGATGCTATTCTTTAAATATAGTCACTTACCCCAATCATACTAAAGCACACATACATAAATGTCCTCCTTAAGTAAATACAACATGCTTAGTCCATAGTGTTATTAATATGTATACAATTTCAGTGCTAATGATTTGGTATTTGATGAACAAGTGGGAGGCTCTTTCCTGGGTAAGACTATTTCTCCCAATCTTACAATTCCTTGGATGTCTATAGTTTGCTGTCTATGGCTAAGGTCTCATGAGATTCAGCCCTTCCATGTTACCATGTCTATAAAATATCTTGTTATTGTTCAGGTCTTGTTTAGGAAGCCACACTGATGAGACTTCATGGGTTTAGCCTCTCTGACATTTGTAGGACATGAATTCTCACAGCAAACTGCATGTTCCTCTGGCTCTTGCAATCTGTTCAACCTCTCTTTCACTAAGATACCTGAGCCTTTAGTGCATTTGTGTTTAGATATATCAGACGAGGCTGAGCACCACAAGGTCATTTGTTCTCAGCAATGTGGTCTGCTGTAGCTCTCTATAATGCTTGCCATCGATTGCAAGCCACACTTCTTTGGCAGGGAATGAGACCAGTACTTATCTCTAGTTTAAGGATAAATATTTGCAATGTGATTAGGTATCCTGCTGGTTTAGCAAAGTGGAAGTAGGAGATTCTTCTCTAAGATTCAAAGTTCACTAGTTCTTGTAGTTGGTTTGGTTTTTTTAAGCCCTAGTCATTTTTCCTTTCCTTAAGGAGAAACATTTCCAATTTTTTTATGTAGCCATTATAGGAATATATAAATATAAATATATGTATGTTCAGACACATATATATATATATATATATGTAATAAAATTTTCTTTCTATCAATGACTTCGAGAAAGGTGTGTTCTTTTAAGAAAATGGAAACAAAGAGATAATTATATTAAGGGTATTAAGCCAGTCATAAAAAAAATGAGAGAATTATATTAAGTGAATAGAGTCACACAAAAAAGTTTTAGTCCTGTTATTGTGTCTCAAGCTTTTTCCAAGCACTTTGGTCTATGTAGTGAATCCCAGGACAGGCAGCACTATGAATAGAGACTCTACTCCCCACTAAATAAACAATCAATGTAACAAATAAATAAATATAAAGGAAAGAAATAATATAGACAAGAAAAAAAGAACAAGAAGGAAAAGCAGTTACACAAATTATCTTGTTTATGGTTCATAGATCTTATATAATTACACAAAATTGTGGATGCATATACACTGAATAAAGACATGAGAAAATCTGTCCAGGGGAAGAAAGGGGATAAACAGAATGAACAAGAAAATGGAAGCTGAAGAGCATGAGGGAAATATGCTCACTATAATATATTTTTGTACAAAAATCCCCATGGTGTCACTGTTTCATGGCCAATGTACATTCACAGTGAAAATCAATACAAGATAAAATCATGGTTAATTCCTCATCTCAGCAATTGTCCTGTCGTGAGAGCTGTTCTTGCCTTGACTACTTTTCTTGCTCTGACAAGAACTTTTGTCTTTTATCCTCCATCAGTTTTCTCTATGTTTAAAATGTCACCGCCAAGTCTGGAGATGTGGCTCAGTTGGGAGACTGCTCCCCTAGCATACAGGAAGCCCTGAATTTGAATTCTCACACCTCATAAACAGATGTAGTGATGCATTCTTGTAGTCCTAGAGCAGTCAGAAGATAGAAGCAAGATATCCAGGGTCATCCTTTGCTTCATAGCAAGCTTCAGGTCAACCTGGATTACATGAGACTCTGTCAAAAAACAGATAAGAGCACACAGAATGGAAGGAATAAAAAGAAAAAGAAAACAACCTGTTTTTGAGAGTATAATGCCTAATTTTTGAAGCTCTTTCTTAAGTATGGGTCCCATGATTTCCTGTCACTGTGAAATTGCTCACAAGTCTTATCAAACACTGAAATTTTTCCTAGTTCTTCACTGTAGTATTTTCTATTTTTCATTGCCACCATAATAGGTATTTGTCTATTACTGCATAGTTTATAGTTGTTAACCAAGTCCTTTCTTCTTTTCCCCATACAGAGTAGTCAATGGTAGCCTTATTTCTGCCCCAGTCTTTCAGAATCAAAAGGAACAGGTGTAGATCTGGATATCCCTGATCTCTTGATTTTCCTTGCACATCCTCTTCAGCATTTGCAACTGTCTTGTGACTAGCCTGAATTACTATTTGGAGATAGTGGAAAGTTCACAAGTACAGTCTAGTAGTCTAGTACTAGATGGGCCATTAAGGATGTATATTTGAAGAGGACATTAGGAACATGGCCACTCTCTCTCTCTTCTCTTTGTTTCCTTTAAGTCATGGGGGTGCACAGGTTTTCTCTTCCCTCACCATGTACTGGCTCAACACTGGCCCATAAATCAATGGGAGCAAATTCCTTTCTATTGAAAATTATAATATATATGTTGCCCCATGGTATAATGGTAATTACTTTATTTCTGCAACTATCAATTTTCAACACAGATTTTTTCAAATTAGCTTTGCAAGAATTTGGTCTTTTCAATAATTTGAATTCTCTTTCTTATAAGTTTACAGCAAGAGATTGTTTAGAAAAAACTGCTTTAAAACATATATAGGTAACATGGAATAATATTATACATATTAAATATTTAGTAATGATAAGCTAGAGATAAAGGCACTTGCTACCATACCTGAAAACTTCTTTTGATCACCAAGATCCACATTGAAGAAGGAGAGAATCAGCTTCTGCCAGTTGTCTTATAACCTCCACATAAACACCATGTAATTGTCCTTCCCCAAGAACACAAAATGAATAAATAAATTCATAATAAAATGCAGTAAATAATATGGTACCACCCATATTATATGCAGTTGTTTATATAGTACTGTACAAAATAAATTTCTCTTTATATTCAGTTGATGAAGTATATCAAGAGCATGACTTATGAAAGACAGAGCTTAGAGGTGAATTAACAAATAAAAAACTAGTCCTGCTAACTTGTTTATAATTTCAAGACTAATATATAGAATCCTATTTCATTATTTGATTTTGAAACATGTCACATATTTTCAAATGATCCAAAATGGTTCAAATAGACCAGCATGACAGCAGATGTTCTGTCTTCTGGAACTTAAGAGTCTCTCTGCCCCTCTTCTGTGATGTTCCCAGAGCCAGAGATGCAGGACCTGTGCTGTAGATGCATACACTCTAGCTGGGCTCCACACATACTTTTGCTCTCCACATTGTGTCCAATTTTTGATGTTGTTGTTGTTGTTTGTGTGATGATCCCATTTGAGGTAAATAAAAGCTTTTTTTGGTGAGGGATATTAGCTACATTTATGTATGGTTCTAAGGATATGACCTAGTAAGAAATTATGCTGGCTGAACAAAGTGACTGATGTTGTATAGCAAAACATTCCCTGGCTACATGCAACACAGATCACAACTTACCCCAGATAGGTATCCCAGAACAGACTAAAGTATAGATATCACTATAGTCCAGGTTGATGAACTTTGAGGTTTATTGTGGTTACTTACAGGAATATGGATGAGGGGTTATTTAGAAGAAGAGAAATTATGCAAAATCACCTTTATCATAGGAGTCCACCTCAGCATGTTGGACAATTCACAAAAGCTTGAAATCTGGAGTTCACTTCACAGTCTTCAGACAGCTCAATGGGTTAGAGAGTGTTCTTTGTGAGTGAATCAGCTGGTCTAATCCTCATCTCTTCAGCTCTGCTGTTTGTGCTTTTTCCCATTAGCTTGTCTTGTCTTAGGGGGTCTCCTTTGAAGATGGGATTATCTGAGAAAAACTCCAAGCTTTTATTGTTTACTCTACAAAAAAGATCTTGTGAATCACATTAGTATTACGGACTCCCAGAAATATTACTGAGTCTTTTAGCTTTTTGCTTGTGGTAGTTTGAATAAAAATCGACATCATAGTCTCATAAGTAGTGGTAGTGGGAGGAGGCATGCTCTTGTTGGAAGAAGTGTGTCATTGGGGATGGGCTTTGGGGTTTCAGATGATCCAACCAGACCCTATGTATCTCTCTCATCCTGCCTCCTGTCAATCTGGATGGCGAATTCTTGGCTCCTTCTCCAGTACCATGTCTATTTACATGCCTCAATGCTTCCCACCATAATGAGAGTATACTGAATCTCTGAGACTGTAAGCCAGTCCCAACAAATTTGTTTTCTTTTCAGAGTCACGGTGGTCATGGTTATCTTCACAGCAAGAAAACTCAACCTTCAACCTAAGGGACTGCTTTAGGAGATTCCCTGCTATATATACTTTTTCAAGCACAGAGGAAACCATTATACAACATCATGAGTAGATTTCTCTTTCACAGTTCATGACTTTAGTAGCCTAAATGCTCTGAAGCACATATCTAATAAGGCTTCCAGTAGTTTCAGAGTGCATGCCAAAAAAATGTGATCCTGAAGTAAACACTGTTAATACCAATGATCGGAGGGGAAAGGTGGCCTGGCTGTAGCCTCCAGGGACAAAAATGTTATTGCAGTTAAAAGAGAAACTATGTTGGGATGGATTCAGTAGCCTGGGTTATCCAGTTCATACAGGGTTATTCATCATCATGATCTTCTGTGAATGACTCCCAAAGTCCAGATGCTAGAATCCAGAAGGCTGTGGGCTGCAGAACTTTAAGTGGAACTATGTTGCCACCACTGTACTCTCTTTCTTAACAGACTCAATTCCTTACTTGAAGCTCCTCCAGCAACACTACTGGCCCTCCCCTGATCCTCCAACTGCCAGGTTCTGCCCACAGAACACTTTAACTGCCTTATTAACTCTACCTTGCCCTTACCCTACTGAGTAAAATGCTGCACTTCTGCACTTGAAATCCCACCAGTCTCTACCCTGGAAAGCTTCACCCTGAAAAGTCCCACTCCCATGCCACACCCCAAGAAACTATATAAACCCCGACTTCTGCTCAGTTTTCTGCTGTCTCTCACTCAGGCAGAGGAAGCCACCCTCCTGGTGTTTTCCTTCTGAATAAATATCTTGAGTGAGGTTTGTTGTGTGTGTGCCTTTGTGGTACTCCTTGGCTCCGAACTGCCAGAATACCTTTACATCTGAGTTGTAATGTGTTCATTTGGTTCTGAAGCCCGGGATTGTCTCTTCTAGTGTCTGCAATTCCACAAAGTGCCTAAGCTGCACTGGACCCTATCCCTCATCTCCAGTCCACCTGCAACAGATTAACTTCCTGGCTCATTGATTACTCAACACCCAATCCAATAGCAGCAATTATGTAAGTTTCACATTTGGTCAGTGTAAACATTTCCCTGAGTTTGAGGAACATAAAGTTGAGTCTCCAGCACCACTCTGGTACTCTTGGAGGTGGAGGTGCCACTCATCATGGACTTTGCAGCTACATCTAATCCTCTTTTTCTGATCATGTCCCCCACACTTGGAGCTGCTATCCTACAATTTCTTTAGGCTAAACCAAGCTATTGTGACCCTTCCTTTTCTCTTATTCCACCTTCCATTCAAAGCTTCTTATAATCCCACAGTTCATCTAGCCCCTGTGGCTTTTGAGACCTCATTCCCAACCCTTTCCTGTGGATGAGTCCCTCCTCCTAGAGCTCAGTTTTTCTCTTTGCCATCTGGCCTCTAGGAAAGCCTTGGTACCAGGTACTGAATCTTACCAGTGGATAAGTCACTGATCCACATTGAGTGTGGTGATGACATACTGAATGGTCCTTCTTTAGTGTTGTGAATCCTGAGGATGCTCAATACTACAGACCCTAGTAACATTTTTTTCTCTGTAATCCATAGAGATGAGTCATCAATATCCTCTCATTCCCTCTTGGGATGCCTTTTAAAAAAACTCAACTTCTCCACCTGTCACCCAACATGAAGGGCCCCAAGTTTATGTATTTTCAGCTAAATTCTATCTTAATACCTTTGATAATAATTCTAAAGGGCTGCATAATGGCACCTTAGGTCCTAATAATATTTTGGACCTTTACAAATACTGTGAATGATCAGGGAAATGGAAAGAGATTTCTCTATTCCTTAACTCTCTTTTCTTTGCTCTAAGACCTGTTTGTTTTAGTTTAGTCTCTCGCCCAACATTGTTTAGATATCCTATCTTTTAAGGCACTATGGATGGATCTGTTCATTTATTGGAAATTGGGAGCCAGTAATCAGACCTAACAGCAGAGGGTAAAGCAAAGCAGTAGGACAACTCCAAGGTCTACTGAGGACATGTCTTTCACACACACTCTTTACTTTCTGGTACATCTCTCTGCTCCCACCTGAATCATCCTCTGTCTGCAGCCCTGACTCAAAAATTTCTTACCTCCAAGCCTTCTCTGTTCTCAGCTTACCAAATTCAGTATTACCAGGGTTGAAGTACATTTTTCATTATAGTAGCATTGCACTGTTGCTTTATGCTGCCTCACTTGAATAAAATCCAGCTCTGGAGTTTGTGTACGGTTCTCACTACTCTAAACAAGTATGCTTGTTTAAAGGTTTCTTCCAAAATCTCCTTCCCATATCAGGCAGGAAAGCAAAACAAAATAAAGGGACAGACTATTCCCAATAGAGACTATTGCTACTAATCTCATAATCTATTGATTTTCATTTAATCCTGAAACATTTGCTCAGACATAAATCTTATTTCAAGATTTGTAAAAATATTGTGTAAATTTTGTGTACCTCAAATGTGCAAGCACATTGGGTATGATTAAAACCCTGCAAAATCAGTAACATTGGCATTAGTTTAGAACTCATAACACTGGGTTGATGGTTAAGAATCCATATGTAGGTAATCTTAAAGGAAGCGTGTGGATTGCTGCCACCTTACCTGCTCTGCCCCTATTGGTATGGAGGTAACCACGTGGCTGACAACCATCTGTGCTAGGCAAAGAATGGATTTTGTCCTGTGACCTCACTTTCATCTTGATCAAAATGACCACACAACATGGGCCCACCAAGGAAAAAACAACTCCTTCTAGCAGTGTGGACCAAACCAGATAATTCTCCCACTATTTTCAACTTTACACACTGTCCTTTCTTTTCTTATCCAGCCTTCTTGGTAACCTGTCTCCCTTCTCAGTGACAGGCTATCAAAGCAGTCAGGGCTGAGGTAGTCCCAAACCAGAACCTTGAAAGGAACCACAATACCCCAGGGAGCATTCTGGCTCAGGATCCATTTGTATCTTGCCTCCTGGATGGTCTTCACAAGGCCACCCTTAAAGCGGTAAATTATGGAAAAATCCAAGAGGTCATTCAGGACTCCTAGACTGCCTCACAAAGACCCTCCATAATATACCAATCTGACCCTAAGACCCCAGACATAAAACAACTCCTTAGGAAATGCTGCCTCTCCCAGAGTTTTGCTGTTATTATTGCCAAACTTAAACATCCAGTGAGAGGACCCATGACTCCACAAGCAGAAATATTAGTCATAGCCTTTAAAGTGTACCATAGAATATATGAAAAAATAATAAAATCAAAAATAACTGATGCTAGTAAAGGCCTTTTGACTGGCTGTAGCAACTTCCCATGTGATCTGGACTCCAGAAGTCTGAGAATTTCTGATTCCCTGTCAAATACACTCAGGAAATTCACTGAGCCCAAGCCTGTCTGAACCCTGGAAAACCATCTGGACCATTTCCAAAGTGTCATCAAAAGGGAATTGGGTTGTTTGCTGTCATCTTGTCCCTTGTGGCATGGGAACATCAAGCCCAGATGGCCTGTCAGCTGACCTGCTAGATCTGGCTATAGACAACTGAGGGGCCCAGGTTCTCTTGGCCTGACCACTGCCATCTCTGACTGGGAGCCTCTGTGGACATCCAGTCCACTGAGGGCAATCTAGCTCTCTTCTTTTGATCACTGGGCTACCTACTTAATTCCGAAGAAGTTTTAAGGAACCACATCTTGTTACAATATTGTCAGACTAGGGTGACAGCTGTAACAGCTTCACCAACGTCACCAAATATATCTCGCAGGCTCAATATCCGTCTTTCTTCATAGCCTCAGTGAAATGAAGCCTCTTTTCTCTGGCCCTTTAAGAAAGAATCTTCTGCACCCCACTTCTTCCTTTGTTAATTCCCCATACTCCCAGGTAGAAATTCCTCTCACCCTACTAGGCCCTCATCACATAGAAAGGAATACCTCTCCACTGTGATTTGGGACATTCCTCTCTGACATATTTCTCAGTCCACTTGGGGAGGCCCTGGATTCAAATTCTCATTACCACAACACTTATCACCCTGTTCCCTCACAGCTCCTCTCTTTCTTTAGTAACTTAATTCCTCATTTACCCTAGGAGCTGTTACATGCTGCTGGTTATGAAATCTTTCCCTTGAAACTACCTGTTCTCTCTCTCCTAGTGTCATCCTGCTCCTATATGTTGTAATTTTCCTTGCCTAGGAAAAGGAGCTTCTTGCAAAATCCCACAGCTTCCTTAAGCACTTTTGAGACTCTGGGACTTGTTCCTCCTGTCTCTTAGCTGCATGCTACAGGTCTCACATCTTCTCTGTGCTGTCCTGGCTTCTCTCCTGCGGCTCAGCTGACAATTGGAGCTGATAGAAACTCCCTCCAGCAGAGTTTGCTTTGTGAGCCTTCCTCACATTATCCACAGACTTGGAATTTATTAAACCCTCATTCTGTTATTGCAAACAGCTGAGTCTCAGTGCATTTCAATGGCCTAAATTGGCAAGCTCAATTTTCAATGGAGGCAACTTCTGCCACTGGACAAACAAATGATCTGAAAATCTTTTATAGCTAAACTTATTATTCTCTTCCTCTATTTCTCCCTAACTATACCTATCCAGCATAGCTCTTATATATGGAGATCCCCTACCTCTAACAAATAACTTATCCCAGCAGAATGGGGAAGGTGCTCTACATCAGGCTGTCAAAGGCCAATTCAGTTCCCTCTAATTCCCCTATCCATCTCTTAACTGGGGCTTACCCTGATGCCTCTTTTCTCTATTTTTGTATAATTTCCCTCTTGAAAACAAAAATCAAAAAAATAAGGTTTTTGAAGAAAACAAAGGGGAAAAAACAAAATTTCTACTTTAATAAGGTATTAAAGATGCACCTCCATGTACTCATACAAGACTATACCTCATACTGTTAGTCAAACTTCATAATATAGGAGTCACCTAGGTTTTAAAATGACATAAAGGGTTCATGAAGAGAAACTGAGACTTGGCATTGTGTGGCAGGACTGGAGTTCCTAAAAATATACTGAGAGAGGATATTGTTGAAAGCTACATTAATTTCTGAGTCTAAGAAAGGGTGTGAAATTCTGAGGATACAAAAGCTTAAGAAAGTTCTGAAGATATAATACCGTGCTTTAAGGCATGCAACTAAAAATTTCTGAAGGTATGAAAAAAGTGATGAAAGGCAATGAAAAATGTATCAGATTGCTTTTCCCCTCTATGCTATTTCTATATTAAGTTTTCAAATGTTGAGGAAACATTTGCTTAATGATTCTACCAGACCATTAGTGTGGTGGGGTATGAAGACTGCTCACCCGCAGGATGCCAAAAGGAGATACTTATCCTTACAATACCTGTCATACTATGTTTGCTTTCTCTATAATCAAGATAGAGATTACTGCAGACTTTGGCAAGAGACTTATGGAGGCTGCTCTTATTGGAGCTGTAGGAGAAATAATGAGTATTCAGAAATGTTTTCTACCTTTTATGCAAAATGACCAAACTTGTATATTCTAATTAATAATCAATTGCACACCAGAGGGGAAATGAACATCACTGCTAAACTTTCCCATAATATTTATTACAGCTGCCCATCAGGTACAATCAGAGTACAGAGGATACACATCTGACTCTCTCAAAATCTAGGGATAGTCATGGTAGAAGCTCTTCAATGGTCCTTACACCTTTAATATCCCCCTTTTTACGTGATGTTGATGCCACCTCCCTGTCATCGCATCTCTTATTTCAGACCTTAACTTCTGCATATCAGTTGCTACATAATACTCTGCCTGACTTCTTTGGAGAATATAGGTTGTGTGGCCCTTCTGGGTCATACTCACTGCCACCATTTGTGGCCTCACAGATGGTCTTATTGGACTCTCTTACCTCACCTTTCATTAACTGGTTTAAGCCAAATATCACTACCATCCTTTATCTCTCCCACATCTCTCTTTGGAAACACAGACTGTTTTAACTCCTCAGGAAATGTCTTTGTTGGCATGCTGTATTTCATAGACTGCGATAATACCTCAACCCTTAGTACTACCACCAAGGCCCTAAGTCCAGTCATTAACAATGCTTTGATTCTCTCCAGCATTCAGTTTTTTTCTGTCTACCTGCTGGGGGGTTAGGACTTCTTTCCTGGTGTTCTTTTTCCAAAACTACAGGGTGGCACATGTTAAAGAGCCCTTTCCAGTTCCCATCACTGGGTTGATAATAGCAGGGCATGACAGGGGAGAAGTTCAGGTATTGCCCTCTCTAGCAGAGCTGTATAAAATCACTGACATTGCCACTGGAGGAGTGAAACTGAATACTTCATTAGCTCTGTACCATTCATTTTCCTCTTAGTTCATCTGTGATCTCAAATGGGTGGCTCAGACCATCCTGAGCCTATGGGGTCAAATAGACTCAATGACCCCCATAAGAGCAATAAAACTGGTGAATATTAGATTCACTGACAGCAGAAAGGTGTGCTTTTTCTCTTCTTCCAGGAGGAATGCAGCTTCTATGCCAACCAGTTAAGTATAGTAAAAAACATGATCTGACAGTTCCAGATGGATCTCCAAAAGCATAAGAAACAGCTCAATGCCTATGGCCAGTGGCTCATTGAAAACCCAATATGCAATTGTATACTACCCTTTTAATCCCCTTGCTCCTCCTTTGCTTAATCCTACTAGTTGCACCCTGACTTACAAACATCTTGTCTAAATTTCTTCAACAACAGATTCACAAGTTTTCTAGCCAGACGTTCAATCAGTTGGCATTACAGGATTACCAGTCCCTAGCTGCAGAACCAGAGGCCGATGACCCCTGGGTCTACCCTGAAGAAGATCAAGTTCACCCAAAGGCATTGATGCCCTGATTCAACAGGATGTGGTCTAATGTTCACATTGACCCCTTTCTTGTGACCTGATTTTATGTCAATAACAAATAAAAAGGGGGAATGCAAGCCCCTCAAGCCACAAGAGTAGCCAGACCCCTCCCCTGAGGGCCTCCAACTGCCAGGTTCCACCAACAGAACACTCTTAACTGCCCTAACTACTGTCCCTACTCTAGAGAGCAAAAATTCCAATCTCTGGACATGAATTTCCACCAATCTCTAACTTAGAAAACTTCATGTGTAAAGTAGCAACCTCTCTTCAAAAACTCTATATAAGCCCTACCGTCTGATCAGTTATCTGCTGTTTCTTGTTAAGAAGAAGCTACCCTGTTGAGTTTTTTCCTCCCAATATATCTCTTCTGTGAGGTGTGTTGTGTGGTGTGACTTTGTGATATTTCTTGGCTACTGACCATCAGAATACATTTCTATCCAGGGTTTAATGCTTCTACACACAATCTTGTGAGGCTTCAGGCACCAAATCTAGTAACACTTGTGTACGACCTGTATCTTATCATCCACTTACCTTAATATCCTTCTTCAACATGATTCTAGCCAAGCTGCTATTCAACAATCACATCTTAGGTAACCATGGACTTATAAGTCTCTGTTTCAAACAAAAAGAAACTTCACAACCCACAGCTTCAAAGTCCTCCATATTCAATGGCATAATGCTCACTTCTCTCAGTGTGGGCTACCAAGATGTCATAATGGCATCATTCTGAAATTATATCCTACTGTCTCCATGGCACACAGATACCTTGGAATTCACCCTGACTACAGAAGGCTTCCCTAGCTACCAAAATCCAGTAGGAATCACAGATATAATGTGATACACTAGGAAGCTTAAGAGAGACACCATGTTCTCAACACTCTCAAAAATTAGCATGAAGCCAAAATACCCAGGTAATTAAAACTTACACAGAGCCCGTGCTCATCTTCTTACAGCTTGTAAGATTATCCATGAATTCCTTCACATTATTGTTTTTTGAGATTATATCTCAGGAGACCAACTGGGCAACTCCTGACTGACATCATTAGTGATCATTTCTAGTAGCACCTCAGGACATTTAAAGTCACAGACTCCTCTACACATAACCTCTGGTCCCAGATAGAGGCTGTCAGTTGACTTGTAGGGGAAATGATGAACACTTCCCCTTGAAGAGTTGATTTCTCTCTCTGATCTCTCTCTCTCTCTCTCTCTCTCTCTCTCTCTCTCTCTCTCTCTCTCTCTCTCTGATTGTATATGAAGTGTATAGATGTGAAGTCTGCTCTTCACACATCTGATTAAGCTTTAAAAAATGCCCCTCAGCGAGAACTTTTGGGGAAAGTGAGAAACATGGTGCTGAGGAAATTCCCAGGAACCTACAAGGATGCCTCCAGCTTAGACTACAAGCAATACTGGAGAGGGTGCCTGAATGGGCCTACCCTGGTTATCATTTTGGTGAATACCCTAACTGTCATCATAGATCCTTCATCCAGTAACTGATGGAAGCAGATGCATAGACCCACAACCAAGCACCAGGCTGAGGCTCCGGAGTCCTTTGGAAGACAATGAAGAGGGACTATATGAACAAGGGGAGTCCAGATCATGATAGGGAAATCTTCAGAGATGACTGGACCAAGCTCATAGGAACTCAACAGCAGTGGAACCTGGGTGGGATCAGACTAGACCTCTGCATAAGGGAGACAGTTGTGTAGCTTGGACTATATGAGGGGACCCTGGCATTGGGATCAGGATCCATCCTTGTTGCATGAGCTGGCTTTCTGAAGCCCATTACCTATGGTTGGACACCTTACTCATCCTTGGTGCAGGTGGTAGGCACTTGATCCTACCTCAACTGAATGAATCAAGTTTTGCTGTAACCCCACCGGATGACTTACCCTTTTGGAGGAGGGGATGGGTGGTGAGTTGAAGAGGAAAGCAGGGGAGAGTGAGAGGAGGGGTAGGAGGGTGATCTGTGGTTGGCATGTAAAATTAATAAAACAATTTTTAAAAAATCATTGAAAAAATGTCCCTCAGCAGCTCCCAGTGGTGCTGTGAACCACCGACTACAGGCGCTTCATACTTTTGTGTAGATTTGTGGAATCTGATATTTCTCTCTGCTGTCCATGAACAAAACACATCCCTGATGGCAAAAACAAATTTCATAGGCTGTTCATGTCTCTGACTGATGTTTAAATTGATTCATAAAGAGAAGAATCAGGACAGATAGAAACACAGGCATGACACATATGTCAAAAATATGAAATAACAATATATGGCTATGACAGATTCTTTGATGTAACCTGGCTGCAGAAAAATATTTGTATTGAGTACTTAGCCTCCATGGACATCCTGTGCAAAACATTCAGTTGAAGAGAAGCTTATATTTCGTTCAAGTGAGTGCAAGTATGTATAATCACATAAACAGAACTGGAAGCCTGCATATCTTAGAATGTAGTAATATATGTCTTTGTTTGTGACTTAGAATACAGTACTATGGGCATGATACACATATACATAAAGTGGTGAGGGAGGCATTGACAGATGGACAGACTGTAGTGAGAAAGAAAGAGAGAAATGAATGATAGACATCTTTTAGAAAATCCATGTCACATTACCAGCTTGCTCTCTACACAGGGTCAAAACAGCACTTCCATCATTTCCCTTGTGACAGTCCTCCCTGAAACTGTCCTCATTAACCCAGGGATAAATTCCCTATCATAACTCCATCCAGACTAAGATTTTAAAGCTAAGACTTGGCTGGAGCCATGAGACAAAAAATAAGCTCTTACATGCTAGGCAGATACATGTGCCTGAATGACAGGGGCTAGAATGTGTTTAGGATTGGCTGTTCCTTTCGTTTCTCTTAAGTTTTGGGGAGAATATGTGAGCCCAAGGGAAATTGAAATTACGTTTATAAAATATATGTGGCTTCTAAAAGAAAGATAATATTTGTGTACAGGTGAAAAAAGCTCATTCATAGCCCCATGTTAACAAATAAAAAAGGTTTATATGAAGACTCCGTGGTTAATAGTTATTTGGTGGGGTGGAGGCATAAGGACAAAAAGAATATCCAAGTAAGGATTTTAACATGTCAGTGTGAGAGTTAAATAATACATTTATATTGGTTTAAAACCAGGTTTAGTCAGTGAGGTACTGTTTTCTTTCTACTATCAATGTTACTATTAGCTGTCCTCAAAAGTTTACATGAAATAAAAACATTATTTAAATCAAAGTTCCCACCAATTGAGTAAGTTCTGGTCCTTCTATGAGGCCCATTGCACTGAAGTCACTCATCCCTTCTGTTGTCCTCAGATTCTGATAATCAGCAGAAATCCTGAGTCTTGCCCACTGTGAATTCCTGCACTTTATTATGAGCCACAGTAAATCTGCAACTTCAAAACTGTCAGGTTTGTCTAACAAGCCTTAGAGTGCAATTTCCTCTCCTGGGAAAGCTGTCTATATTTATACTCATTTCAGAGTTTGTCTAACACATATACCCGAGTCTTTCCCTTCCTCTCAGTTTAATTCTCTCTTTTTTTCTGTCTTGTGACTTCATTTCCTCTGTGATCCTTAAGTAACCTTTCAATACTGTGCAACCCTTCACATTGATAAAGGACATAGTGCATACTCTGAACATTCCTGGTGACAATGAAGAAACACAGCTGTGTATCTGAGTGCTCTGACCTGCTCTACTGGGTCTTCTGGGGGTAACTACACATCCCTCAGTTGGGTGCTGAGTTCCAAGAATCTGGAACTTTCCTATTTTCTTAATTGAGGAACTTTGAACAAGTTTCATCTTCATGTTTTGTACCAATTTTAGTAAGGGATGACATTTTGATGTTACTCTCTGTGTATTTGACATAGAACTTTCAGAAATTTCTATTTCTAGTCTACTTTGTTGAAGATAAAAAGAAATAGAAACATCTGTAAAACTTATATGCCACACTTATTAATTATTCTCTGAGTTACTTATGCTTATATTGTTACATAGTCATGTGGATTATGCTTAAAATTTTGGTCACAGAATTTATGAATGGTATATTACAAATTATTAACTACCATAATTTTCAAGTATAGCTGTGATCAACATTTTACTATTCCTTACTACTAATCATGTCTCTTATATGTAAACGTGTTTTAAATTTACTTAAATTATTTTAATAAGTTAATATACATTAAAATTTTATGAGTTGATTCCACTTCTTCATTTACTTTATAATAGAGTTTCTTTTTTTTATCTGATGGGATCAATGATTCTAGAATTATGCTTGAATAGTTTATGCAGTCAAATCATATATCACATACATAATATCAATTTGTGTAGCTCATATTTGTATGAGACAAACGTTCTGTATTCTTTCTTTGCCATGTAGCACATTTAGCAAGGAGCGGTGATGTCAGTGCAAAAGTTTCCCCCTCTGCTGAAGGTTTTCTGTCAGATATGGACTACCATCCTCTGCACTATTTAATTCTAACAATAAAAATTAAGGGCACCTGAAATAACCATCTTCACTGAGTTGAGTCTGTGCATACAAAAAACCTGTCATGACAATTTAAAGTGGGAATATATAGAAAAGAATAGATACTGAGAGTCGAATGATGGTCATACAGATAGTCTCATTGGTCTAATACCTCATTCTTCTGACTCTGTTTAAATCAGTAACCTCTTGGTGAAGATAAGAAGTATTCTGCCAGCTGGTCTATGTAGATTATGTCCCACACTCAGACAGCCATTAGCATCATAGGAAATTCTCCCCCCTCTTTCTGTACATCTTCCATCTGCTCACTGGACATCATTTGGGAGCTATAGATTAGGTTCACAGTCAACTGGTTCTGGCCAACTTTAGTGTTTCATCACCTAAATCTATACCACAGACATTGATAACATTGGGGTGGAAATATTTCCTGAATGATACAAGTTGAAAACTTGTCTATTACTTGTATAGAGTTTACAGAGCAGTGTCCTTTATCACTGTCTGTTTCTTCAGTTTTTTTCCTAGTCCATTAATCTCAATTCTAGGATGTGCAGGTGGATCTCTACAGTTCATTGTTTACTACTCTCCCTAGACCTGGTTTCAGCATCTCCTGAAGAACTTATTTCTTCCATTTTTAGAGAATATCCCATTAAATGAGAAAACCTTCAGTGTTGAAAGTAATAATGGGTATTCCTCCTGGACAATGCTGTCCACATATGCTTCAGTATATAATGCCCTAAACTTTTTCTGTGACATGTTTAGTTTGATTTTTTTTAATCTGTGCTAGTGGATTTGTGGTAATTTTGCTTCACAGACATAAGCAGTGCCCAGAACATTCACAACATAGCTTCTCCTCTAGTGGTTCCCATGAAGAGAGAGTCACATGTAGCATTCTTTATCCTCATGAGTTTATAGCCTTCTATTCAGTCTACATAAGTTTGGCCCTTTGAAACTCTTACTGAAAAATGTGACCAGTGGGGAGTGAACACCTCTGTCCTTCTGGCATCCTGTTTTCCATCATTCATCTCTTATGTGCTCATCCTCAGTGACACATGACTCTGTCAGGTCTGTGTTTGCCAAGGAATAAAGCTTTTTCCTTATTCATGTGCTCTGCTAATAGTGTTTTGTAATCAAGGTATTTGAACAGAATATTACTGTCAACATTTGTCATTATTATACTCTCTGTAATCCAGCAACACATATTGTCCTGGAAATAA